CCGGGCCCGGGCGCCTGGCATTCTCGAGGGAGCGTCCGAAGGGTTGAGCCCCGAAGAGATCTAACGCACGGTGATATCGACGTTCGCGAAGAGGGAGATCGCCTCCAGGCGCCCAAGGATTATAAGTCGAGTGGCGCGACCGACGACCTCCTGTTGCCCGCAGCAAGCACCGGCTCCTTGTTGTCGCACAGCAGCAGCAGACGACGACCGTGATTGGCGGCATTGCGGACGGGATGACGAACCCCCATGACCGATTCGCCCTCCAGTAAAATGATGTCGGCAGCCCGATCGAACCGCCCGTGAAAACATATCGCCCAGTCTTGTTGAGAACCCAATATATCCTTTCCAATCTCAAAAAAGTCCACCCCCCCGCCCCAAGAAATGACGCAGCGATGCGGCGGCGACGCCGATGAAGAGGCCCCGCTCGGTGACACCCCCCCCCGGCGGTCGCGATGCTTGAAAGGGTTACAGGGGCGGGGGGGGGGGGGAGTATAGAGTTGCTCTGCGATTTCGCACTGCCCCTCGCCGCCAAGCTCGCCTGCGGCCGGAGACTCTTCGAGCCCGAGCGCGGACGCGCGGGCCCCCAAAAAGTCAAGGGTCTTGAACCTCCACCGCTCACTGAGCTGCAGGGCGGCCGACGCGGCGGCGGACTCGACGTCGCGGCTCGCGACCCCGAACCGAGGCCGCCGAAGTTGCTGGGCTGCGCAGGGCCCGAGCCGGGAGGGCGCGGGGGGCCGTGGCCTGGAGCGTCCGGCCTCGCTGCTGGCGGGGGGCCGCGGCCCGGGTCGTCCGGTCTCGCTGCTGGCGGTGGGCCGTGGCCTGAAGCGGCTGGCCTCGCTGCTGGAGGGGGCTGTGGCCTGGGTCGTCTGGCCTCGCTGCTGGCGGGGGGCCGTGGCCTGGGTCGCCTGGCCTCGCTGCTGGCAGGCGGCCGTGGCCTGGAGTGTCCGGCCTCGCTGCCGAGGGGGGGGGGGGGGGGCATGGCCTGGAATGTCCAGCCTCGCTGCTGGCGGGGGCGCCAGGCCACGTCAGCCCGGGGCGGCCGCAGCCTGGCCTCCGCCTCCGCCCGAGGCGCCCGCGGCCGTGACCGCGGTCGCGATGGGCCGCCGCAGGTCCACGAAGGTCATCGCCACCAGCGCGGCCCCCAACTGGAGATCGCGACGCACCGCGGCCCACGGCCGCCGCGCCAGGTCGCCGGCCTTCTCGGCGAACGAGTAGCAAGCTCCGAACACCGACAGCAGCGGGCGCCGCAGCATCGCGGCCCGCGTGCAGTGGCCCAGCAGCATCCGCATCTGCTTGCCCGCAGGCCCCGTGGCGCCCGCGGCGCGCAGGAGGGATCGCCGGATATTCCACGCCCGGCTCCGTGAGAGCGAGATCCTCCCGCTCTTCCTGTCGCGCGCGAGCCCGGTGAAGAGCTGCTCGTCCTTCGGCTCCTCCAAGGCCTTCGTCGGGGGGCCCGCCGGGCGAGGAGCGTCGGCCACCGCGCGGCTGTCTGCGGTGACCTGAAAGATTTTGGCGCCCACCGCTGCCACCCCGTCGACGTTGACCGCAGCCGCAGTCTGGGCGACCAGCGACGGGGTCACCCGCTTGTCCGCGACGATGCGGGGGGGCGGGTAGCCGGCGCGATGAACGCATTGTGTAACAAGGGCGGGTAGCCAGCAGAAGAACAGGCAAGACGGCGAGCAAGGGAAAGCATTGGGCCCCATCCTGAAGGGCGCCATCTTAAGGCCGAGCAGTCCAAGGGCGGCAGCGCGAACGCTTCCTGCATCCCTGGAGGCCCGCTAATTCGATAGCAGCACGCTTCGACGTCGACCTGCGCCAGGCAGAGCTCGTCCTGGGGCTCCAGCTGCAGCCCCCCCAGCACCAGGCGGTTGGCAGGGCCGAGTGCGCCGGGCGCTCGAAAAGCTGGTTGACCCGGCGCGCGTCAATGATGAACCGCAACTTGTTGTCCGACTTCGCCGGGGCGAGAGAAAAAAACAAGCGTAGAATCGCGAATCGGGCCGAACTGGATCCGCCCTGCGCCATGCAAATCCGAAACGCACATGGCGTAGCAAGACTTGCTTTGCATCAGCTTGGCGTCGCAGTGCGGCTTCACGGCGGGGACTTCGGGGCGCTTCCGCAACGCCCGCTGCTGCCAATCCTCCCAAAGGTCGGGGACCCCGCCCTGCAACGCGCGGGTGCCGTCGCACTTGGCGCCGGACGAGACAGCGCGCGGCGGGCTTTACGGGTTCCACGGAGTAGCAGGGCTTGCTGGCGCACAGCTCCTGGAAGGCTGCCGCGCCGGTCACGATGGGGGCCCCGATGCTTCGAACAGCGGGTCGAACGTCCTCATAGAACCAAAACTTTGCCCTAGAATGGGCGGGCGGCGCGGATCTGCACCCCCATGCCCGTGGTGCGTGGTGCACCTATCGGCACCACTCGTCGACGTGCCGGCGGCGGCGGCACCGCGGGCGGACCGCGCGGCAGCACGAGCCCCCAGGCTCGCGGCCGCCGGAGGACGCCTCCGGGAGCGGCGCCGGAAGCAGCTCCCGAGGCGCAGGCACGTGGGTTCGTCCTCGACGGTGTCGTCCGCCCGGCGTGGTGCCAGGCGGTCGCGACGCCTCCACTCCGCCATCTGCGCGCGCTGGGCGAGCAGCTCGAAGCTAACGAGCTCGCCCACGTCCACCCGGTCGTAGACGAGCCCTAACTCGAAGACCCGCATGGCGATCTCGTGGTCGCCGACCCCGGGGCCGGCGGCCGTCAGGCCCGTCTCGTGCAGCCACTTGGTGTGGCGGGCGCGCGGGTGGCTGTCCTGCTCCGCGATGAAGCGGGCGCACCACTGCGCAGCGCGCGGCCCCAGGAGCGGCCACCCTGGCCAAGAGGTCTCGGTGACCTCCTCCACGGCGTCCTTGGGGAGTTTTTCCCGCGCGCCGCCGGAGTCCTTGGCCAAGGGCAGCTGACGGCCGTCCCGGATGGCCTGCACCACGCCATCTTTCGAGTCGAGGGCCCACTGGGTGTACTCGCCAGTCCCGATCACGGCCAACGCAAAGTCGCCCGCCCGGGCGAACTCGTCCACCGTCGCGCGCGGGAACTCGGCGTCGAGGTCGCTCGTGTGGGGTTCCGACGCGACGTACCAGCGGAGCGGCTTCACGTCCGGCAGCTTGTCGACCCCAGTGTCAGTAGTCACCAAACCCGTAGTTGCAATCGCTGATGGATCCCCCACTGTCGCCGCTAACGGCTTCTTCCCGTGGATGCGGCGCTCTACCTTCTCCTTCTGAACCACCGCCTCGATCGCGTCCACCAGCTCCACGGCGGTGGGCAGCCAGTCGGAGCCGTCCCGTCGTTGTCCGAGATCTCCACGCCACGCAGGGCCGGAGTGTCCACCAGCACTGAATAGACGTCGAACTCCGGGCTCATACAGTACCAAATCTTGCCGTCGACCTCTTGGTTCTCGCTCGCCTCGATCCCCATAACCTCGGCGAGCTCCTGCCGAGTAGCTACGCCGACGACGATCCGGCTCTGCCAGCTGCCGCCATCCCCCCCCCCTGGACGTTCAGCCGCCGGCCAACGCGGAGCCCGACACTGAACATAGCAGACCGCCACCAGGATGCTGACAAGAAACCCCACGACCACACAACCGCTAGCACGGGCCCAATCCACTGAGCACCGACCTCCAGCACTGCACAGTCGGTGACGTGCTGAGCCAAGCATCCCAGGGCGCCTGCTCCGGTGACCGTGGCCACAATGCGAGAGAAGAACGCCTGCATGTGCCAGCCGTCCGTTAAGAGCTTGAGAGAAATGTCAACGGACATTGACGGCAAACGGGGATGGTAGGACACGGAAGTTTGAAAACGCAGCCATATACACACAGGTGGTTGTGCCCCGCCCGCGAGCCTGGGGTGCGCCTTGATCGAGGCGCGATCGGGCGAGAACCACGCCGCTCGACCAGACCGGTAGAGAGAAACGCGCGTGCGCGGGGATACGCCGAAGGCCGTGCGTTGAGGCACCACTCTCGAAGCAACGGAGGGCCAACCCGCTTGTGGGCCGATTCGAGTTGTTCCCACCCGCCGTGGGGAAGAGTGGGGGGCGATGCGAGGAGGTGGGGAGAGGGCAAATGAGCCACCTGGTCGAATCAGAGTAGGGAAGCGCGCCTTGCGTCAATCGAACTCAAGAGAGAGAGAGAGAAACATACATAGAGAGAGAGAGAGAACAACAAAGAGAGAGAGAGAGAGAGAGAGAAATACAGAAAGAGAGAGAGAGAGAGAGACGGAGAGGCAACATACACATCAACATCAACAACATGTAAAACCTGTGGACGAATGCGACAAATAGTACACATCACGACAACTATCAACTCTCTCCTTTGAAATAGTCTGATTCGCGAACACGTCATCCTTTCTTCCTTCTGCGAGGGCACCGGAAGACTAGCTCGTCGGAGCCCAATGAGACTTCCATAATGCGACGCCTGTGCCAGGGGAAACGCCATCCTGCGACGCTGGTTTCCGCTTGACGGAGGCCTCCCCGCTGCCAAGGGTTGCCGACGCGCTGACACAGCAAGAAACGAGGGACGCGTTTAGAGAAAGCCACCGCGCGCATAGACTGGCGAGCTGAATCGCAAGCGCGGGTGCTCGGCCAACCCTCCCAGATTGAGATTACGAGGCAACTCCTCCGAGGTCTTCGCAAGAACGATTAATGGCTAGCAAGCTCGACGTAGGGGCCATTAAGCTGGATCAGGCCGGATAAAACCGGATTCACCGGAATTAATCATGGTCATACTTGATTCGACGTGCTTTCGACCACGGGCAAACAAGCGCCAATGCCGAATTGATTCCCCCAGGAATTGCATCCTAAGATGGGTGTACGAGGTGTCATGGAATGAAGACAAGGACACTGGGCGCACAAGGCAGGGGAGGGCAGAAGCAGAAGACGAATAATCATGGAGCCCATCTTCCTCCTACTCCTACAGACTGCTCCTTCAACTCCTCATCCAAATCTAACTCCTGCAAGCCTCACTGCCCCCCCTCTCACTGCGGCTCCTTGAAGAATCCGGTCACCTCCTCGGGCTCCGGGACCTGAAGCTTCACCAGGCCAGGCCACCGTTTGGGATTCGGCCCGCCCCTCGAAACATGAAGGCAAGAGGAAAGCTGTTCGGCCCTTTAAGTGAAGTCGAAAGTGCTTAAGGTGGATCAAGATGTGGAGTTTCACACACAAACGCGTTCAACGACCGCCCACGGCTTACAGGGAGAAAAGGGGCACAGAACCGCCCAGGGTTGAAGAACCTTTCCAGGCCGGCAGGCTGGATAAGCTTTGCTTTTTGTTGAACCCCCCCCCTGTGCACTGGATCTCTCCCCTCCGCCTCTGGCCCCATCGTCCACGATGCTCGTTCGATGCTGCACCGTATGCGTGTTCATTTGAGCGAAATGCGTGATCTTTGTACTTCCGCTTCCGACTCCATCCACAACGAGTGGAAGGGTTATCAGATCTCCAGGCAGCGCTTGCGAGAGGACATCCGCCCACAGGGCAAAAGACTCTTCCCAGGGGTCAGCGCGGCGCAGGAGCCAAGAGGCTATGGACGGGGTGCTTGGCAGGGCGCAGCCCGGGCCTTTCGCGTGGGCCTCCAGGAGACGCAGAAGGACATACGGTGCGGGCGGGGCCGCAGGAAACCCTCGCAAGAAGCCCAACCCTGAGAACCCGTGCGCGAGGTGCACCTGAGGGGAAACCCGGAGCACCCTTAACGCAGCAGCTCCTTCAACGGCTGCGGGAAGTCACCGCGCAGCGCGAGGAGCGAAGAGATCCAGGGTACCCCGACGAGAAGCTCATAGTTTCTTGATGCGCGCCCCCACTGTACTGGTGCGATGCGCCCACCCTGGAGGCGCGCGTCCGAACCGAGCATGCAACACAAACGTCATGCGGTATGGCCGGACAGCAGCCGCCGCCGAGCATGTACTGTAAGGTGCCTGAGCGAGCGCGTCGCCCCTGGGAGGCCGACGTACACGGAGCAGAAGTGATGGTTGAGGCGTGTCGACTCCAAAGCGCTCGACCCCATCGCCAGGATTACGGCCTCGTCGCAGGGCCCATTTTCGTGACGGCCCTGGGACCCGAAGCTTCCCCCGCAACAGCAAACTCGAAACCCCCCCGTCGTTGTGTGTCGGTGGGGATGCCTGGGAAGTCAGGAAAAGGGGACATCCGATCATGCGGAGCCGTCCTAAAGTGCGCCCCGACTGCTCGGCGTTCCTTCTCGGACCCTTCAGGGCCTGGCTGTTCCACTCGTCGGCTCAGACGATGTCGCCACCCACAAGGATGCTGCGGAACGATAGGGGATCCGGCTAAGGACGGGGAACCTGCTAAGGAATCGACGATACATCGCCGATAAAGCCTGTCGCCACCGATAGCGAAACCGAGCGCTCCTGGACGGGGCGGACGATTGGTCCCCGATCGGCGAAGAATGGGAAATTGGCGGCCGATGCGCCCCCCCCGAGCCTATCCCCCCCCTCGCGATGCCCTGGAGGGATATGACGAGGACGACGAGCAGGCAATGACGACGAACACGACGACGATGCCGACGCCATGGACGACGAGGACACGGAGGCATCTTGGGTGCAGTGGGCAGACCGGGGAGGAACGAAGAGGGCGGCCGCCGGTGGGAGAGGACGAGGCCCGACGAGTCGCCAACCATGGGGGCACGATTCTTGCACACCACCCCACAAACAAGCTGGTCTGGCACAAGCCCGTGGAGCGGGGGCTGTGTACAAAGAAGGCATCCCATGGGGACGCGCTTTCTATGCCCCCCCCCCCGCAAACGACATCCGCTGGGAACGTGGGGAACCAGGTACGCGCGCGGGGGCGGCGGTCACACATCGGCCCCCAAAACTCACGGAGGAACGACGAGGACGAGGACGTGGTCGACGACAACGACGAGGGCGACGACACCGACGACGACGACGACGCCGCCGATGACGACGCCGAGCGTCGCGGGCGGCCCTCGGCCGCCCTTCGAGCGGCGCGACCCGACCCCAGGCCCCGACCCCCCGCCCCACCTCGGGAGGGCGACCGACCGCCCACCCGTCGAGACTGCCCCCCCTCTGTAGGCGACGAGGGTCCCCCCAGACGTGGAAGGCCGCCCAAATGAGGTCGGGGGATCACGCGGCATCGCCGATGCATCACCGATACACCACCCGTGCATCGGCGGTGACATTGGCGGTGCATGGACGATGCATTGGCGATGCTTTGGCGACCACGGCGTGGAGAAACTGGGATCCCACATCGAGCCGCATCGGCCGATGCATCGATGATGCGTCGGCGATGACTGTGGCGATGCCTCGGCGACGGCGCGGAGAAAACCGGATTCAACATCGCCGATGCATCGCGGATGCATCGCCGAAGCAACGGCGATGCGGCGCCATTCACCGACCCCATCTACTTCGACTTTCGACCCTAGTTGGACGGCATCTTCCGTTGGCTCAACATTAGCTCGAGGCTGCTGCGCCCTGCTTCTCCAGCTCCTCCTCTTCCTCCTCCTCCTCCTCCTCCTCCTCCTCCTCCTCCTCCTCCTCCTCCTCATCCTCCCCCTCCTCCTCCTCCTTCGCGGGGCCTCGTCGCCGATAGGCCGGATATCTCGCTCGAGCGCAGCTCGGGCCCCCGGGACCGCGGCATGGCGCAGCCCCCCGCCCGGGCGACGACGACGACGAGGACGGCAAGCGAGGCCCTGTGCGCGGGCGCCTCGGTCGCACGTGCTGCAAACGCGACGCAGCGGGCGGGAGAACCACCCGCCGGACCAGCACCCCACACGCCTGGCCCGCCGTGTGGCAAGCGCGCCCCAAAGTGGGAATCGCACGGGACTGGGCCGTCGACGCAGTAAGCGCACCTTTTTCGTCGGCGGCGAGGCAGAGGCAGTCCACTCCAGCGTGTGGCTATTCGCGGCAACCGAAAGGCGAGTAGTCCGGCGTGCAAGAGGAAGGAAACAAGACGCGCAGTAAGTGCACAGGGGAGTTCAGCAAACGCCAGCTGTGGGGGTCGAGGCTGCTCCTCGTTTGCGGAAGGGAACTCTGCCTGCTGGAAGCGGGTCCTGGAGCCTGAGGCGTTCCCAGGCTTCCCGCCCCGAGTCGTTTGCACATGGCTTCGGGGCCTGGGACGGGCCCCCGGAATCTGGGAACCCAGAAACGGCAAAGCGTAAATCCAGGAACCGCTCCAAGCAGGACACCCTCCATGCAGGACCTTTCACTCCAGGCACCTCCTCCGGTTCCTGGGGAGGAGCCCACGCCCGCGAGCCCGTCCGCGTAGGCAGCCAGGGCCCAGGCCCCCAAGTCATCCAGCAGGGACCTGTGGGCCGCCTCGAACGCCGAGATGTCCACCGTGCCGTCCTCCTGTGAAGCGGCGGGGTCCCCGCACGCCACCGCCGGTGAGGCGGAGGAGGGCGCGGAGGACCTCGTCGTCGTCGGCGGCCTCCTCCAATCGGGGGCGCGCAAACATGGATTGGGGGATGTGCCCTCCCCAAAATGCGGCCGGTGCCGCTTCGTTCGGCGGCGGAAATCGGAGATTTCCTATGGAAACGGGAAACGTCGCTAATCCACGCCCCCTTGATCCATGTCTGCGCTCTCCATGTCCGCCTCCTCAGGCCTGATCCCCCCCCCCTCTGGCCTTCTCTCCTCCCTGCTTCCAGCTGCTCCTCTTCCCCCCCAGGGGGGGAGGAGGAGAAGGGGGGATAGGGGCGGGGGGGAGGGGAAGGAGGACGGGGGACACGGCGATGAAGGAAGAGGAGGAGGACGAAGAGGAGGAGGAGGAGGAGGAGGAGGAGGTGGCGGAGGAGGGGGAGGAGGAGGAGGAGGAGGAGGAGGAGGAGGAGGAGGAGGAGGAGGAGGAGGAGGAAGAAGAGGAGGAGGAGGAGGAGGCGGAGGTGGAGGAGGAGATGAGCCAGGAAAAGGAGCGGGACTGCTCAGGAGATGAAGTAGGACAGGGGGGAGCAGTGGGATAATGTTTAACAAAATGGGGCTCGAGGGTAGGGTGACTTCGAGGGTGGGCAATCGAGCCCTCTGCCCGCTTCGAAGGCGGTTGTGCTGCCGCTGAACGCAACCAGAGCCCCCCTGACCTGATGCCAGGGCGCCTAACCAGACGCCGCCCCCACTGGCAACGGACCCGGCGCGTTTGAACGTAACATGACGCCAAGTGGTTAACCTGACGCCACCCCGACAGCACTCGCTCGGTACGCGCAACTCCAGATTCCGAGAAGCCCTGGGCTGGGGTGGTCAGGCCACTTTCGCCTGAGACATCCTCGCAACTCTGACCTCAAATATGCCCTGCCTCATGCTTGTCTGGCCACTTGCGCCCAAGACATCCTCGCAACTCTGGGGGGGGCATCCTCGCAAGTCTGGGTTCCGAGAAGCCCTGAGCAAAGGTGGTGTGGCCACTTTCACCTGAGACATCCTTGCGACTCTGCACTCTGAGATGCCCTGCCTCCTTGTTGGTCCATCCATGTTCGCCACCACTGTCGCATGAGACATCGTGGTAACTCTGACCTCAGAGATGCCCTGCCCACGGTGGTCCGGCCACTTTCGCCTGAGACAGCCTCGCAACTCTGGGTTCCCAGACGCCCTGAAGTGAGATTGTCAGGCCACGTTTGCTTAAGACACCTCGCAAATCTGACCTTGAAGATGCCCTGCTTCATAGTGGTCTGGCAACTCTGAGATACCCTGCCCCATGGCGGTCCAGCTACTTCCGCCTGAGACATCCTCGCAACTCTGGGTTCCGAGATGTCCTGAGTAAAATTGGTCGGGCCACTTTCGTCTGAGACGTTCCCGCAACTCTGGGCTCCGAAATGTCCTGAGCTGAGGTGGTCCGGCCACTTTCGCCTGAGACATTCTCGCAACTCTGACCTCGGAGATGCCCTGCCTCACGGTGGTCAGGCCAGTCTCGCATGAGATATCCTCGCAACTTTGACCTCGGAGATGCCCTGCCGCACCGTGGTCAGGCCACCTTCGGCTGAGAAATCCTTGCAACTTTGACCTCGGAGATGCCCTGTCAGATCAGGCTGGACACGTGGCCGGCGCTGCGGTCGGACCGCTGGAATGTGGCTGGCGCTTCAGCGGGAACTCGGTTTCGAGGGTCTTGACGCCCCAACCACTTACGGGAGCTGCACGTCACCGCTGTTCCCCTGGCCAGGGTGCTTCTGGAGCCCACCAGCAGCGGGGCCGGCGTCAGTTTAGGTGCCTGGCGTCGGGTTTGGGGGGGGCTTGTACGCACCCAGTGCTGCGACCACAAAGGAGCTGGGCCACGCACAAGTGCGATCTGCGGGGCGCGCCGCCACAGACCCTGACCACCAAGAGGGACCGTAAACAACTGCAGGACGACGGGGGGTGAAAGAGGGGGGACGAAAACGTCGGAGCAACTGACACGGGGATGAGAACAACAAACTGTCTGGGGCACCAGGCCATCTGAATGAGGGTCCTCTCCAGTACTCAAGCTGAGGTTGAAGCCTTAAGGCCGTCCCTGCTCAGTGTCACATTTGCAGACGAGCCCTCTGGCGAAGCCCTACGCGCCGCCACGCTGGTCCCGGGCAGGGAGGAGGAGAGGGGCAACAACCGCAAGCAGAGGCCCGGCGACGGACCACACGGCGGCGACGCCGACCAGGCGGCGCATGCGTAGCGGTGGAGTGGGCGGTGGGCGTCGGGGAGGGCAAGGGGGGTCGTTTGCGGTCGTCGGGAAAGGCCGACGGGGTCGTCGGGTCGGGGTGTGGCGTGGGGTGGCCAACCGACCCTAACACGCTGCGGCTTGGTGGGGGAAGCCTGCTGTGGGATCAGCCACCGCCCCGCCGGGGAAGGGCCCGACGGCGTGCGTAAGGGGAGGGAGAGCCGCCAGCGCGACGCTGGCAGAAGGGCGCGAAAGGCGCCCGTGCTGCCCAGCAAAAACTAAGGAGTGTTGGAGGGGGCGCTGGGAAGCGCCGGGGACCATCTGAATTACTGCGAGCATACACCACGCACAGAGAGGCCTTCGACGGCTACGCGTTTTGAGTGTGCGGGGGGCTACAGGTACGGATCATCATGAAGCACAGTATGAGGTCGACGGCCACGAGGAAGAGGACTAGCTCACGATAGTTGCGTACCAACCAGCGACGATTTGCAGAAGAGCACGTGTGGCCTGCGACGTATATAGCATCCAGCGTAATGTGACAATATGTTGCGGATGGATGTATCGGTGACGCTTGTTTCTTGTAACCTTCACGCGAGACACGCACCCACCCTCATCGAACCCCAAACCAAATCATGATTTGTGGATTCCCGTATCCTCCCCCCATGCCCGTCCCCGTCCCTCCACCACGCCAGACCTGCCCCATTCCCGGCCGGCACAGTGGCGCGAGATTGTAGCGCACCGCGGCAAACGGCGGCAACGATTTCGCAATCGAGCTGTAGCCCTTAGGTCCAACGTACGTCGTGGAAGAGCTACGACCAAATTCCGACCCGAGCCCTGGACCCCACCTTTCAATCCCATCTTTCGAACTGAATCGATCTACGATGGCACTGTGGCCCGAAACAAGGCGAAAACGACCGAGGTTCAAACTTGCAGCGCCTGGATCTCATGGTCTGGTCTTGCGGGCGGCACGCAGGCAGGACAAACTTTTCAAGTCAGCGGGCGCAAGCAAACGAAGCTGGTGCAGGCGCCAGTCGGGCTACGGGCGGGACGCGCCGGGGTCGAATTGAGGCACAGAACGCGGAGGAGGACGCGGGAGGGAATGGGAGGACAAACGTGTCGACCCCCCTGTCCCCGAGGTGCCCTCGCGTGCACCCAGTGCGCCGTCGGTCGCGCGGCGGTTTCCGCGCGGTGCCCCCCCGGGGCCGTACTAAACCGTTGTGGCTCCCCTACCTGCTCCCAGATTGGACGGAACACTCCTCCCGTGCGATCCTGGCTGCGATGACGAAAGTGATACTCACTACTCACTCTCTCTCTCTCTCTCTCTCTCCCTCTGTTTCGTTCGGCACGCCTCCCGAATCACACCCTCGTCAGCCAGGAGGCTGCGCAGCCCTTCCAAATCCCGCCCCGAGGTCGCAATCACAACAACATGCCTGGCTTGGCATGTCTCGATTTTGACGCAACTACCGAAAGCTCTGACACGGACAGCATCCAGATGCACCGAAATTCCTTGCACCTGTCTGAGAGATACATGCGTCTTCTGTGTATCATGATTCACGTCTTCGTCCCTCTCCGCCTCATCGAAAGACGGCGCGCGGAGGCCAGCGTGAAGGACGGCACGCGTGAGGACGACTGCAGCTAACAGCTTGCTGGGAGGCGATAGGGAATTCATTGAGGAACAACATTCGGGGGGTAACGGCCCTGGGGGGGGGGGAACATCGACCTGGAATCGTTGATTCATCGTCGATGGATCGGCGGTAGGCCCCGAATAGCAAGACCGCATGTTCCAGGGCGGGGTGCAATACCAGTTCACTATCGGCGATCAGTGGGCGATTGGGAGTAGATGCCTCCCACCCGGAGTTACCCCTGACTCCAGCTCGTCCTTATCCTCCTCCTTATCCTCCTCCTCCTCCTCCTCCTCCTCCTCCTCCACTCCTTCCTCCTCCCTCCCCGGATTTGTAAGGCCAGGTGGGTCGCCAGCGCCCTCTTCGAGGCGTTGACCAGCTCGTTCGTCGTCTGGCCGATGGCGCTCAGGACGACGACAGGCCGCCTGTCCACGTGGTCGCAAACTATGCTCGCCACCCGCCGCCAGCTCTCCTGCGGGTCTCGACACGTCGCTCTCTGAGGGAGGTGGTGGCGAATGGGCATCGATGAACCGACCCGAATCCCGTGGGCGTGCCCTGGGCCCCACTGGCCGACATGCCCACCCAGGTGGGGGTATATAGGCGGTTTTCGTCTGGTTGCGGAGGGTGTGTCCCCAACTGGGGTTCTGAGCTGGGGGGGTCGGATGGGGATGGGGATGGGGATGGAGGTCGGCTAAACGATTCGACGAGCTCTATACAACAAGCCAACAGGTTAACCAACTACCCCACAAGCGAAAAAGCGTGTTCTACCGCTGCTGGCGGAAAACCTGGGGGGGGGGTCACTGGGGGTTCCCAACCCGTCCCCCCCCCCCCTCGAAAACGGGGGGGGATCACTACTGGTTCGAACCCCCCTCCACCCCCCCAGTCCATCATGAAAGGGGGGGGGTACTACTGGTTCGAACCCCCCCCACCCCACCCCTCGAAAACCAGAGGGGGGTCACTACCGGTTCGAACCCCTCCCCCCCCCTCGCCGCCGGCAAGCGATTCCCGCTGCTCGGGACATTTGGACAATGGTGGGGATGCTGGGACAGTGGTGGAACGGTGGTGGTGGGGACACTGGTGCGGACAGTGGTGAAGGCCACGCGCGAACCCTAACGGGCGCACCTGGTCGGACGGGCGGACCCTAAGAGTGGGCGAGTCGGGTCGGGCGGGCGGACCGTAGCGGGCGGGTCGGGTCGGGTCGGGCGGGCGGACCCTGACGGGCGGGGCGGATCGGGCGGGCGGACCATTAAACTCTGGGGCGCGCTCGACCGAGCACGCGCGAACCCTAACAGGCGGGTCGGGTCGGGCGGGCGGACCCTACCTAGCGGACGGGTCGGTCGGGCAGTTTCGCGGACGGCAGTTGGTTTTGCCGACGGCACTTGGTTTCGCCGACGGAGCTGGTTTCGCCGGCGGAGCTGGCTTCGAAGGGCGGCAAAACCAGCTGGGCGAAACCATCCGTCGGCGAAACCAGCAGTCGCCCTCGTGTCGGTGATGTGGGTTTGGGAACAAGTTCGACATGCGCGCGCGGCCGACGCGCGAGTGGCCCGCGTGGTGTCATTTAACACGGATCGTGCCCTGAACACGCGCGCAAGGACGTGCGAATGATTTCGGCATTCGGCGCCAAAGGCCTGTTTGTCAGAATCCCATGAACATGAGTTTAATTTGAATATAGATATACAACGATGGTTTTCTGAAAAATTCGCAAGAGCGTGAGCGCAATATGTTTTGAAAACTGTTGTCACGAAATCATGTGCTTTAAAAAGTTTGTAACCTCTCGGTTCTGAAATCATTACCGAAACAAAAGTTTCTTTGACAGATTCGGCACGCGCGCGCGTGCAATTCGTCGTGGTGCAACCTACGTGGTGCAATGCATGTGGTGCAATCTGTATAGCGCAGTAAGGCTAGTCTGCGACGAGGCGGCGACGGGGCAGCGACTGCGACAACAGCGCAGCCGGACCGCCACACTGGCCAAGACGACGGGCGGCGACGAGGCGACGACAGCGACAACATAGCCGCCAGATCGCCACACCAGCCCAGTTGCTTGGAACCCCCAAAAAAACACCTGACGTAAATACAAATACTGTTTGGGGAAGAATTAAGACATTTCCTATGGAGCGTCAACCGTGATCTGGCGCGCTGCAACTGTCGGAGGCCGTCCTGCGCGTTCGCGCGGGGAGCCCGTAAGAGGCGACCAGGCTGGCGCCGCCCAGACCTCCTACCCAGCACACGCAAGCGGGAAGCCTGCCTGGCAAGCGAGACCCCGCGTGGGTGGGACGGCTTCAATGGAACTGCGCGGCTTGCGCTGGCCGCCCTCAGCCATGCTGTAAATTATGTTTTTGAGCGCTTCGGGTTCTTCCTAGACGACCTCATTTGCATGATGTCTTCCCCTCTGCCCCGGCCCCCTCCCGCCCCCTGGCTCCTCCCGCTCCCCCGCATGGCAACCCGGGGCACACAAGAGATGACGACGACAGCGGCGTTGTCGACGATGGCGACTGCGGCGAGGACAACCGCCTGCGGTCTCCAGAGGCATCCGGAGGCATTCATTGGGCTGAGCACGATCAAAAACCTTCATCCTCGATCAGAGATATAGGTCCGAGATCCACATGGTCGACCGCCCCAATCTAAGACCGACGATCTTCGAACCACGAGCCTCGACGACGACCGACGACTGGAGGCAGTGGGCAGGCACACATAGAGGAACCACAAACCGCATAAACGCAATCGGAGGTCCGCGCGGGTGTTTGGGATCTGTGCTGGGCCCGAGAGCGCACCAGGGAGCGGCGCCGAAGGCGCCGCCAGGCCCCCACTCCGCGCCGACCTGAGAAATCCGCGCGGACCAACAGTCTCTATTTATGTAGCTTGTTGTTCCTCGCGGGCGGGCGGAGAGTGAAGCTTCCCAAATGGGGTCCTCGTAGATGGGGTCAGAGGATCGCGCCGTATCACCGATGCATCGGCGATACATCGGCGATGCATCGGCGATGCATCGGCGCCATCGGCGATGCGTCGGCGCCGTCGGCGTGGAGAAAGTCGGGCCCCGCATCAAGCCGCATCGCGGATGCATCGGCGATGCGGCGCGATCCTCCGACCCCATCTGCTCGGACCCTATCGTCGATAGAGCCCTTCAGGTAGGCTCCGCGGTGGCGAGGCTGGCCCCGCTGAACTTCATGACCAGCAGCCCCAAGCTGCGTCCCTGGGGCGCGCCATCTGGGGTGGCGGCCACGGGCAACACCTGGGCGCGGGGGGGGGGGGGTCGGGGCAGGGGAAGGAGGTCGAGGAAGGAGGAAAGGACAAAAGGAACACCAAAACAGGGGGGAGGAGAGAAATGGTGTGAGGATACAAACAAACAAAAACAACCCGGGGGGGGCACATGGGAAATGGGGCACCAGCTGATCATCTGGGAGGAATGGAGGGGGGAATGGAGGGGCGGGGGAGGAAGGACGCAACTCCTTGCAAGAGAATCGGAAACAGACGCCCTGCGAGATCGCGAATCCTGCCTCGGGTGAGGCTGCAGCGGCAGCTGCGGCCCCCAACGCGGCGCACACCGAGCGGCGGCGCGCCACCCTCGCGGGCACGACGACGACGATGTACGGCAGGTCCTTGAAGTGGAATTGCCATGCCGTGGGCCACATCCACCAAGAGCTTCGAAACAGAAGCTGGGGCCAGTGGTGCTGGCATCTCCACGCAACACGGGTGGTCCACGAACACACAAACTGGGGCCAGTGCTGCTGGCACATCCGCGCAGCAGGGCTGGCACCTCCGCGCAACAGGGGTGCGACGAGTTCGCGCTTGCAGCGCAAATGGGGCTTGGTTGCAGACGATTGGTCCCCGCCGCTCCAGCCGAACTCCTGCCGCCCTGCACGCGCGTCCTGAGGCCGTCTGTCTGGCCGCGTTGCCGCGCGCGACCGCGCGCCGAGCGGCCGACGCACGGGGGGGCTGCGAGCAGGGGCGGAAGGTCAGAGAAGAGAATGGGCTGGTCAAGTTCAGACTGCTTCACAATCGGCCCTCGACAGCCCGAGCCACCCCCCACTCCCTTGAGCGGCGGCGGGCGGGCCTATGCGACGACTTCGCGCTTGTAGCGCAAATCGGGCTTGATTACAGACGATTGGCCCCCACCGTTCCAACCGAACGCCTGAGAGAGTGGGCTGGTCAAGTTCAGACTGCTTCACAATCGGCCCTCGCCAGCCCGAACCGCCCCCCCCCCGCTCACTCGAGCGGCGGCGGGCGGGCCTATAGGACCAGTTCGCGCTTGCAGCGCAAGCTGGGCTTGGTCACAGACGATTGGCCCCCGCCGCTCCAACCGAACTCGTGCCGTCCTGCACCCGCGTCCTGGAGCCGTCTTTCTGGCTGCGCTGCCGCGCGCGACATCGCGCCAAGCGGCCGGCGCGCGGGGGGCTGCGAGCAGGGGCTGAGGGTCAGAGAAGAGAGTGGGCTGGTTAAGTTCAGACTGCCTCACAATCGGCCCTCGCCAGCCCGGCCCCCTCCCCCCGCCCCCTCGAGCGGCGGTGGGCGGGCCTATAGGACCAGTTCGCGCTTGCTGCGCAAGTTGGGCTGGGTCGCAGACGATTGGCCCTTGCCGCTCCAGCCCAGCTCCTGCCGTCTCGCATGCGCGCCCTGAGGCCGTCTGTCTGGCCGCGTTGCCGCGCGCGACAACGCGCCGAGCGGCCGGCGCACGGAGGGTTGCATGCAGGGGCGGAGGGTCAGAGCGGGCTGGTCAAATTCAGACTGCTTCGCAATCGGCCCTCGCCAGCCCGAACCGCCCCCCCCCCGCTCCCTCGAGCGGCGGCGGGCGGGCCTATAGGACCAGTTCGCGCTTGCAGCGCAAGCCCAACTTGGTCACGGACGTTTGGTCCCCGCCGCTCCAACCGAACTCGTGCCGTCCTGCGCGCGCGCCCTGAGGCCCGCGTTACTGCGCGCGACAACGTGCCGAGCGGCCGGCGCGCGGAGGGCTGCAAGCAGGGGCTGAAGGTCAAAGAAGAGAGTGGGCTGGTCAAATTCAGACTGCTTCACAATCTGCCCTCGCCAGCCCGAACAACCCCCCCCCGGCCCGTCGAGCGGCGGCGGGCAGGCCTGTAGGACCAGTTCGCGCTTGCAGCGCAACTGTTTGTGTTTGGGGGGCGGCCCTCACCCTGGCAAGGGTGGACTGGGCCACCCCCTCCCCTCCTGTTTTGTGTTTGGGGGGTGGTCATCACCCATGCAAGCGGCGGCAGAAAACGCTCTATCAGACAAAACCAGAGAACCATTGGATCCTAACGAGAAGAAGAGAAGGAAGAGATTATCCAGAGATCCGATGTCTCGATATGTGAAATACGGCGCCCCATAAACCGACCCTTTCCCCATGGCCCGCGGGGTCTAGGGGGCTTCGCGAAAAACTCCACCGGTCGAATACCAGGAAACACTCTTGCACCGTTTTGTCAATCTGTCACAGGTCTGGGCCATCCCTCTTTTGATTCCAACGTGGGGTTGCTACGATAGAGAAGGCCACGCAACAAACATGACAACACATAGTATGCCTACCTGTGCATACGCGGTCTGGCAAATCGGTGCGGCATCAACGCGACGCCAAAGGGCGTCGTGGACTCGAACCTTTGGCCTGGAAGCGCGAGGCGCGCGACTACACATATCATGAAGTTCCGCGACTGGTCACTGTGTTCAGGGGGGTGTGCGGACACGCAGAACACTGTTTAGCTAATCGTTCGCTGGCGCCCGCCTCGAATTCATGTCCCATCCCCCGCCTCCTCCCAATATCCCTCCGCTATGGCCCCACCCTCCTCATGCCCCCAACCCCCAGTCCGCATCATGCCCCTCATCCGCATTGTCACCCCCCCCCCATGTGCCAACTCATGTCGTTCCTCGTCGTCCTCCTCCGCCGGATTAGCTCCCCCATCGCCCACATATGCCATCCTCCCATCCTCTACGCCCTAGTGCAGATCATGCACCCTCCTTCTGCCCCCCCCGCTTCCCTCGTCCTCGCGATGCTGGCATCGATGATGAAACTCCTGCTGGGCCACTTTCGTCCCCTCTCGTCCAGTCCCGTTCATCCCTGGCCCCTTGGCCACCCCTCCGATCGAACCCCTTCTTGCCCGGAGCCCACCATCCCCACCCCCCCGCGCCTTTGCACTCCCAGACCACGGCCCCGTCTTGGGCCAGCCGGGAGACCCGCGGAAACTCCCGCCAGGTGACCAGTCCAGCGAGCGGCACGCAACAAATGCACAGTTGGAGACACGAGCTGTGTAATCCGACAGCGCACGACGCCCCCCCTGGACCAGCCGAAAGAGAAACGTGAAAGCTCCCGCCCAGTCAACACCACCCGCGAAGAGCACACTCCAAATACACAAATGGGAACGAGATCTGCGCACACATATCACACCACGACCTGTGTGAACAGTGGGCCCACACACGAAAATACACAGTTGAAAACACAGGGTGTGTACACAGATCACACCTTGATCTGCGTATTTCGAAAAAATGTAAACGTTCGCCACCTCGATGGGCGCCCCGACTTCGCCAACCCAGAACCGAGGTCGTCATGCACACTTCCCCGGCCCAAGGCTCCCCCGAGGGAGCTGCAAATGCTCGATTCCCTGTCCCATGGCGGCCGCGGTGAAACGCGGCACCAAAAGCGGCCCCCAAGGGCCCGAACTCGCCCCAAAAGGCCTCGGAGGACCCCAAAGAAGGCCGCACAGCAACCCGAGAACACGCGAAGTGACACATGTCATGGACCTCTTAACAGTCAAAGCTCCACGCGTCGCCATACAGACCGCTGCACTGGCAAAGGGGACGGACCTTGCCGCAGGCACCTACCGCTTACACGTTGGCGATGCGACTGTGCTCGGCGGCCGTGCCGCCCGCGTTTGGAGCGCGCCCCGAACGCTCGCAGTGGCAATCCCCTCCGTTTGGTTGCGCCGGTGTGCCTGGATATCGGAAAAGGCGATCTACCGCTTATGCGCGCACGCGGCACCAGGGACACAACTTTGCGAACAAGGAGGGAAGACGAGATACGACGACGGACGGTGGAGCAGGGACGCAAAGAGGAACGAGGAATAATGGGGGAAGTGGAAAGGGGCGTTCCCCCGCCCGAGCCGCGGACGCTGTCGACACCATTTAGGGGGGGAAGAAGGGAAGAGGAACGGAGCAAGGGCGAGGACGACGACGACAAGCAAACTGTCCTGAGTCCGCATATAGCCATATGCTTGCGATTCGGGTGCGCGCTTTCTTCGAGGCACTTCAAGCCCGACCCATACTGAATTCACGAACTCCTCCAAACTGTGTAAACACTCTGTCCTCTGGGACCCCTCCTATACAACTGCTTCAGAACAGAAGGGCAGTGGATTCCAAATCCCTCCTCGCCTCTCGACACCCCGCTCCCCCTGTGCAGGGGGAACCTCAGGGGGGGGGGCGGGCTCAGGAAGGGAAGCATTTACCTGGAATCGAGGATACATCGCCGGTGGGCTATCGGGCCCCTATCCGCGATGGGTGGGCGACTCGGGGCCGATGCCTCCCCCCCTTAGCCTGCCCGCAACATTGCCCCTGACCCCCCCTTTCCCAGCAGAGTTGTTCCTCTGGTCCCTCGCGGGCGCCTTCGCGTCCAGCACCTGGTGCGAGGCCTCCCGCCTGGACGCCAGCCTTTCTCGTTCCCTCTATAGTTTTGTCTCTCTTTCTCTCTCTCTCACTCTTCCTCTCTGGTGTTCTGTACCCCTCTATTTGTTTGTTAGTCTATCTTTCTCTCTCTCCCTTTCTCTTCTCTTCCCGTCCTTTTCAAGACGCGGATCCAAGAGATGATTTTTTTCTGGGCGGCCAATGGCACTGTTATCTCCCCCTGGAACCCGCCCTCCCTCCCCTCTACCCGGCTCGCTGGGCGGGCGGGTCGGGTCGGGCAAGGTCATATTTCCCTCCTCCGCCTCCTCCGCCTCCTCCTCCCTTTCCTCCTCCTCCTCCTCCCTTTCCTCCTCCTCCTCCTCCTCCTCCTCCTCCTCCTCCTCCTCCTCCCCCTCTTCCCTCTCCCTCCTGTCCTCATGGCGTGGCGCCTTCCCCCCCGTTCTGTCACCGTCCCGCTCCCGCGGAGTACGTCGACCGCAATGTCGGTGGGATCGGACGAGCCCCAAGCAGGCGCCCGCTGCCTGGCCTCCTCCACTTTGCAGGGAGTCTCTGAGATGTCTCTCCTGCTTGGCTCTGGCCAGGGCTTGGGGCGGAGGTGATCGCTTTATGATGATGCTGTTGATGAGGATGATGATAATGAGGAGGGGGAGGAGGAGGGGCAGGATGAGGATGACTATACTGATGATGATGACGACGACGAGAACGAGAACGAAAACGAGAAGGATGAGGATGATGATGACGATGACGATGATGGTGATGATGACGATAATGATGTTGATCATGATGATGGCGATGATGATGCTGATGATGGTGATGATGATGATGATGGTGATGATGATGATGCTGCTGATGATGGGGATGATGATCATGATCATGATCATGCTCAAAATGATGATCCTCATCATCCTCATCCTCATCCTCATCCTCATCCTCTTCCTTATCCTCATCCTCATCAAGTGGTGCCCCCGGGAGCTCACCGGGATCACATGCGGATTTTGGGGGACAGCGCCGGACCCACCTAGGAGCGCCTCTGGCCCCGCTTCTCCTTGCGTCGCGCGCCTGGGAGGGTGGTCCGTGGTCCAGCGTCGCCTTGAGAGTTCGGAGAGGCCCCCATCCAGCGATGGCGGACAATCATCCGAACGCTACTCGGGTCGTGGCTTTTTGGTGATGAGGAATCTGCGTCCGACGCTTCCGCCTCCAGCTCAGTGAGAGCACGCCAACCCAATCCAATCCTACTCACTCATTGTGTGTTCTCTCGCTCTCTCTCTCTCTCTCCCCCTCTGTTCCACATGCCTCCTCCATTCATCTCTCTTCCATCCTTCCCTCTTCCTCTCTCCCTCTCTCTAAATATTTATGTTTGCTGTGTTGTTTGTTTCTCTCTCTCTCTATCTCTCTCTATATATATATATATCCCCCCGCCTCTCCGTCCCTCCCTCCCTCCTTCCATGTTTTGAATATGTTTCGTTCTCTCTCTCTCTCTCTCTCCCCCTCTCTCTCCGTTGCTGTAGTTCCCTCTCTCTCTCACACGATCTCTGTCTCCCCTCTCGATTATCTCTCTTTCACTCTCTCTATGAACATGTGTCACTCTCTCTCTCTCTCTCTCTCCTCAGATCCCCTGATCGCACGAGCGGCCCCTCCCGCCACAAGAGGTTAGCGCGGAAGGCACTTGCAACCCTCGCGCCAGACTGCGACCCGCCGAGCTATTGCGATCTCTCTCTCTCACTCTCTCCCTCCCTCTCTCCCTCTCTCTCTCTCTGTCTCTTGCTCTCCTGGCTCGGGCTCTCCTCTCTCGACTCGGAGGGCGGGGGGGGGGCAAGCAGGGGCAGGGCAGAGGAAATTGAATTGTCCAAATCATATGGGCTTTGGTATTTAGGTTTGTGTCCCAGTAGATGTCTTCCGAATGTATGTCAAAACAAGGCTCCTGGGAGGCTCCTTAGAAACGCTTTAGACGCTCCTTGGACTTCTTGGAAGCTCCTTCGATCACCGCCCGCACGGCCGTCACACGTGGCACCCCTCGCCACCATTTCTACAGGCCTTCTCATGGGAGAGTCTAAGTCCACCGACCCTTCGGCGTATGTGAAACGCTGTCGTCCTCTTCGTCGTCTTCTTCGCCGTCGTTGCCAGCCCCAAGACAAAAAAGGAACGAGCCGAGAAAATAAACAACGTAGCCAATTCCCCTCCCCCTTTTCCCCTCCCTGACAGGCGGGAAGGGGTGTAGGGGGGGGGGGGGGTAATGGGGAGAATCAGGGGGTACGGGGGGGGTCCTGGTTCAGACTACCGCCCCCCGCAGGGTTCCTGGCGGGTCCCGGGGGGTCTCCCCTGCCCCTGTGGACAGGGGGAGGGGCGGAACCCCCTCTGGGGGGGTCGCCAGCGGGGGGTCCCGCCTGTGGTGGGGGCGGGTGGTCCCAGGTCAGAGGTGCCGCCTCCCCCTGGGGTCCAAGCGGGTGGGGGTCCCGGGAGAGGTCCAGCCTTCAGGGTCGGCGACAACGGCCGCAAGGCCTTCACAATGAAGGGACCGAACTGAGGAAGGCAAGCCACACTGCAACGCCTAAGCGACGTCCCCTGCGCTCCCCCGACACCTCTGGGGCTCCTCGGATGCCATAAGTAAAAAACAGAAGGCGTGTGAGACATGTGGCTGTCCCCCTCCCCCTTTCCCCCTCCCCTGGGGTCCACAATGCCATTCTAAGGGAGGGGGGGGATGGGAGGGGCACGAGCTCGTTAACGCACCCCCTGGGCCTCCGGAGCCCCCCTAAAGCCACAAGACAGCCCAACAGGGACCAGACAGAGCGCCAAGACAGTCGAAGAGAGCGTCATGAATAGCCCCATGACGTTCCAAGATGGCTTCAAGATGGTTCACGGGGCCCCCAAGATAGCCCCGAATCGCCTCCAGAGGATCGCCGAGACAAGCCCAGAAGGCCAAAATCATCAAAATCCCTTGTGAAAACGTCGATTTTGACAGCGCACTCGACGGTCCAAGTGGCCCCCAAGATGGTTGCAAGACGGCACATGATGCCTCTAAGAAGGCCCAAAGGCGACCCAAGAGGGTCCAAAGACAACCACAGAGGGCCCCCCCAAAAGCCCAAGACAGCCCCTGGAGGGCCTCGAGAGGGCTCCAAGACAGCCCAAGAGGGTCAATACGAACTGACATTTCGAGCCTTTCCCACCAAGATGGCCCCTCGAGCCCCCAGAGGCCCCCGAGGGCCCTCCAAGAGGCCCCAGAAAGCCCCCAAGACGCCCCCGACAAGTCCCCCAGAGGCCTCCACGAGGCCCCAAGAAGCCTCCAACGTGCCCCCAAGAGTTCTTAAACAACATCCAAAAAGATCCTTAGATTCATCCAGGATGCTCCTGACCCAAGAAAAAACCTCCAGGATCGTCTCAAACATTCACTCCTTGTGAGGGTCGCCAGAATGGCGTAACCCACTTGCGAAGAGAACGCAATAAACCAAACATAACTGCTCATTTGGTGAAGTTGACCACCCGCCATCACACCTCAATCGATTGTATGTATTGTCCAGGGTCCGTCCCCCCCCCTCATGCTGATGCCATCGGGATCCCTCGCCTCCCCCCGCGCGATGCCCCGCCCCCCCCGTGGGTGTTGTATGTTGCTGTGGGTGTGACGTGTGTGGCATGGTACTGCAGCACTCCAAGAGGACTCTTGAGGTCGTCGTCGTCGAAGCCGCCGGCGCCGTCGTCGTCGGAGGGCTCCGGAGGTCGGCGCCGTCGCCGCCTCCGGCGCCGTCGCCGCCGCCGGCGCCGTCATCGCCGTCGTCGTCGTCGTCGCTGTCGTAGTCGTCGTCGTCGTCGCCGCCGTCGGCGTCGGCGTCGTCGTCGTCGTCGCCGTCGTCGTCGTCGGCGTCGTCGGCGTCGCCGTCGTCGCCGTCGTCGCCGTCGTCGCCGTCGTCGTCGTCGCCGTCGTCGTCGTCGCCGTCGTCGTCGGCGTCGTCGCCGTCGTCGCAGTCGTCGCCGTCGTCGCCGTCGTCGTCGTCGTGATCTTCGTCGTCGTCGTCGTCGTCGTCGTCGTCACCACCCCCATCCCATCGGGGGGGGGGGCCGAGGGACCCTGAGACCCATCTTGTCGGGGGGGTGGGGCGTGGGCCTGGAGCCTGCGATCATGTATGGATCGGCTGATGTATCATCTTAGAGAAATAAACCTGCCCAGCCCAGGCTTGAGCGAGTCTTCTGGCCGCAGGTACACCTGGTTTGTGCCCTTGGCCGTCCATCGATCAAGTATCTCCAGAGGGGAACGCTCAGACATGTAGCTTCGCAGTGGCTAGCTGAACTGACAGTTTCGGAGAGGAGGCTGTTCCGCCATGCAAGTCGGTGGCAGCAACCCATGTGAGCCTCCCATACCAGCTTGTCGGCTCTGGCGAATCGTCGCTAACCGACGCTGAGTCTACGCTAATCGACACTGACTCCAGGCGAATCGACGCTAACCGACGCTAAATCGGCGCTATCTCATCGACTCCCAAACGCTAGTCGGCACGAATCGGCGCGAAAGGCGGAGTTGAGAGGGCACTCCAGGCTCCCGGGACCTGCTTGCTGCCGAGCCACGAAGCGTCCGCAGCAACTGCGGCGAGAGATGGGAACGAGGCCCGCCGCAACGAAAAAGGCGAGCGTCCTGATGCCGTCGTCCGCGCAGGCCCCCTCCCGCCCCATCGCTCGGGGGCCCAGCGCCGCCGCACCGCCGCCGCCCCTGCCGGGGAGGGGCGGAGGCCCCGAGCGCGGCCCCCGAGCGGAGGACGAGGCCGAGGAGGGCGAGGGGGGCGGAGGGCGAGGGCGAAGGACCTGCCGTCCCCCCCAGGCCCACGACGATTCGCCTCCCCGCTTCGGGCGCTGCCTCGCGTCGGCGGCGAGCGAGAGGGGGGGGGAACGAAAGGGAGAAGGCCCTCTCAGAGGGCGGCAGGGCGTCTCGGAAGCCCTCGCGCCTCCTGAAAAATTATTGTGCCCTCAGGGAAGGGCTTGGAACACTTCTCGGAAGACGGGAGGTCTTCCGAGTCGTTTGAGAAGGCCCGCCCCTTCTCACTCGCTCCCCCAGTTCGCCCCTTCTCACTGCCCCTCCCAGGGGGGGGGGGTGCTGAAAGATGCACCGTTCGCGTATTTTCGGAACCCCACGTGGACCCCTTCCCTGCAACCCCCGACCCTCTTCCCACTGAGCGCCCCCCATCCCGAGACGCCCGACCGTTGTTCCTGGGGGTCGGCGCCAGGGTCGTCTTCATTTTGCCCAGGGGGGCGCAGGCGCCGTCGTGCGCACACAGGTCGGTGACTCCGAAAGGTGTGGTCTGCAAAGGGTGTGGCTTGCAACCGACACCCTGGGAGGGTGGGCGAGGACCTCGACAGAGCACTGCGCCGCGCCACGAGGAGGCCCGGTGAGGGCAGCGTGGTGCCCAACCCGAAGCCCCAAAAACGCAGGTCGCAGAACCACCCATGGACGCAACCACACGAGGCGCAGCCGCCCCTGGAGAGCATCGCGAGGCTGGCTGGAAAACCGCCGAGGACCGACGGACACGTCCGAGGGCCTCCAACCTCGAAGCGGCGGCGAGCGGGGGGGGGAAATGAGGAGGGGCGGGCCTTGCCTTCTGAGAAGGTGTCTAAGCCTTCCCCGAAGACGCAACAACCTCCTCTCGGAAGGCGCGAGGGTTTCTGAGAAGTCCCGCCGCCTTCTGAAAAGGCGTTTTCCTTCTCGTTTCCAACCCTCGCTCGCCACCGATTGATGCCTCATCCTAGACCCCATCCTCAGCATCGTCTGCTCCTCTTCCTCCTCCTCCTCATTCACCTCCTCCTCCTCCTCCTCCTCGTCCTAGACGCTACACCCCTTTCCTAACTACAGAGAAAGAAGGGAGAACGAGCAGGGCACGCGTGTCCCCGCCTCGCTCGCCGCCGATCGAAACTTGTTCCAGAAGTTACTCCACAGCCCCATAAGCGCCGGCAGGCTTTTATCATGTTAGGGAGTTTCCCACAGCCATTTTGGAGGTGGCTTTTTAGCACAGCCTTAATCGTATAACGCAGCCTTTGTATTACAGCATCGCGCAGTACAGCTTTTCTGGCTGTGCACAAGATGGCGATGATAACGCTGATGATGATGACGGTGATGAAGATGATGATGATATTATTCCAACATAGCAAACAATGCGCAATATCTGGCATGCCATAACAAAATAGTAGGTGTTTCATATCGGCTAGGTGCGTACAGCAATAATATGCGAGTGTTGTTGAGATGTTGTCGGTGGTCTTTGAACGTCATGGTTTTGCCACCAGAGGCTACGGCTGGATATCAAACCGTGGCAACACATAGCATATGCATATCATATGATTGTGTCTCTCGCGTGCGCAGCTGCATGCTATCTCTCTCTCTCTCCCCCTCTCTTTCCAGTTGTTTTCCATACCTGCCGTCAGGTCGGATCCTATTCTCCTGCGAGGTCGGATCCTACAGTTCCCGCGTGGCCGCAAACAAATCCTCCTGGGGCGCGGCTCCTCTTTCTCCTCCCTCCGCCCTCTTTCTCATCCCACCCTGAAATCCACTCAAGACAGGCCCCTGCGCCCCTCAACTCGTCCAAACGCACCACTTCTTCACGACGCGTCCAGCAGCGGCAACCTCGCACGAGGGCCCCCGAGTCCCAAGCAAACTCGATCCTCGAGTATTGGACCTCGAGATCCTCGAAGCGCGGCGTGCGCCGCTCGCTCAGCACGGCGTGAAACGACGCGACATGGCCTCCTGGACCTGGTTCGAGATCTGGCTGCGAAGATGTCAATCGATGTGTTTTGTTGTTGTTTCTGTTAGGGGCGAGGCTGCCGCGACGGATATCGAACCAGATGGGGTTGCAGCCGAAATAGTTATTCATGTTCCTCTCGTGTCCCTAATCCCACCAGCCCTTTGGGCGTGAGTGGTTTAGGGAGCTCTGTCTGTCCTCAATCCCCCTTCTTCCCCTTCGGGGAAGGGTTCACCCCTCCCCCTACCCCCTCCCCCTGGGCCTGGAGAGGGCGGGCCGCGGGTCGCCAGGGGAGTCTTTTTCGACTCCTGGGAGGGCCAAAAAACGACGACCCTCTCGAGGATTCTGGCCCCGACGGGGGGACGCTAAACAAATGCTCTCCTCTTCTGTGAAGCCAGCCAGGATCATTGCTTTTACGAGGGTGTTGGCCCCATTTTGGCCTCCCGAGGGGGCCGCGCTCATCTTCCTTCATAGCAAAATCATTGATTTTACGAAGGTTTTGGGCTCATTTTGTCCTTCTCAGGGGGCAGCGCTTCTTTGCGCTTCTGAGGAGGTCGCAAGAGGCCCCAAGATGGCCCCAAGAGGCCCCCAGGAGCCTCCCAAGAGGCCTCCAAGAGGCCCCCAAGAGGCCCCCAAGAGGCCCCAAGAGGCCCCCAAGAGGCCCCCAAGAGGCCCCCAAGAGGCCCCCAGAGGCCCCAGAGGCCCCCAAGAGGCCCCCAAGAGGCCCCCAAGAGGCCCCAAGAGGCTCCAAGAGGCCCCCAAGAGGCCCCACGAGGAGCCCGAACGACTCACACCAGGACGAGGGGCCCGAACGACTCACACCACGAAGAGCCCGAACGACTCACACCACAAGGAGGGGCCCGAACGACTCACACCAGGACGAGGCGCCCGAACGACTCACACCACGAGGAGCCCGAACGACTCACACCACGACGCGGGCCCCGAACGACTCACACCACGAGGAGCCCGAACGAGTCACACCAGGAGGAGGGGCCCGAACGACTCACACCAGGATGAGGGGCCCGAACAACTCACACCACGAGAAGCCCGAACGACTCACACCAGGACGAAGAGCCCGAACGACTCACACCACGAAGAGCCCGAACGACTCACACCAGGAAGAAGGGCCCGAACGACTCACACCAGGACGAGAAACCCCAAACGACTCAAATCACGAGGAGCGCTTTCTCTCCCTCCTCCTCCGCCTCGTCCTTCTCCCGCTCCCCCCACAAGGAGGATGTATAAGGAGGCGGGAGGAAGGAGGAACAGGGGAGATATGCGGGGCCAAACGGACACACGCCTGAAAAAACACGACTGTCGGCATGCTTCGCATGAGTTGCTGTTGTGAGATGGGCTGGTGGGGATACGCGAAGCGTAAAGAATTTTCCCTCTTTCTTGTTTGCTTTCTCTCTCTCTCTCTGTCGTTCTCTCTCTCTCTCTCTACATCTCTCTCCCTGTCTTGATTATCACATTCCGTTTTTCCCTACCTAGGCTCTGCCTAGAAAGGTTCTTACTGTGTATGCTTAAAAGGCCGGGCAATGGAACACGCCCCGGGCGGTTCCCCCGGCATCCGCCCCGCGGTTCCCCCAGTTGCGCCCCCTTAACTTAGCGTTGCTTATCTCATCTTAGCTTAGCCTAGCTTAGCTTAGCTTAGCCTAGCCTAGCCGAGCTTAGCTTAGATTAGCTTAGCCTAGCCTAGCCTAGCTTAGCTCAGCTTAGCGCAGCATTAGCATCTCATATCATATCATGTCACAGCATATCATAGCGCAGCATAGTATAGCGCAGCATAGCATGGCATAGCATATCATATCATAGCGCAACCTAGCATAGTATAGCATATCATAGCATAGCTTAGCTTTGCATAGCACAGTGCAGCATAGCATAGCATAGCATAGCATAACATACCATATCATAGCGCAGCATAGCATAGCATAACATCAAATGTTGCTTTCCTGGATGCTCCAACTCCTAGGTAAGGTCGCACTGGGATAATATCACCTCAATATCTTTTCAATCTATCCCTGGGCCGATCCTGTTTGGTCATTGGCCGCCGTCAGGACGAGGGTCGGCGAGGGCGGAAGGGGGGTCGAGGAGGACGGGCGGAGGAGGGGGGGGGGGGCGGGGGCACAGTCGTCGCACGCGTCTTGCCAGAAGAAACCTTGAATAAGGAGCGAAGGGGTTTTCAGGGCCACTGCGAGCAGCAGCCACAAGCGGGCGGCCTCCCGACGCTGGCCCGAGGAAGAGGCCCCTCCCGAGACAAAGGCGCCGCTCAGTTCGGCGAGCTGACTGTGCAAGGGGGGGCTCGGCCACAAGAAATTCCACCTGGGGGGGGCGCATCTTAATTCTGCTCTCGCTCGAGCGTTGTCCCCGGGCGCCGTCGTGACGCGCCCGCGGCGCTGGACTGTCTTGGGGTCTCTCTTGGGGGTCTCCGGAAACCTCTGAGGGGCCTCTTGAGGGCTTCCTTGAGTTTCCCGAGGGCCTCTCCAGCGCAAGGGCGGCAAAATCTGTTCGGAGCCTTCGTCCGAAACCCCCGCTGTGAGCGGACTTGGTGGCCTCTTGGGGTTTGGGCGCTTCTTGGGCGCTTCTTGGGACGCGTCTTGGAACCCTCTTGGGAACCTCTGGGGCGTTTTTCGGAAACCTCTGGGGCCGGACGCTGGAAGGCGAATCGGGCGAATATACGAAAAACATACTTCCTACAGGAATTGGACGATTTTGGGTCCTTGGGGTTCCCTCAGGGGGCGTTCTGGAGGCCTCTTGGGGCGCCTTGACTCTTCTTGGACTGTCTTGGGGTCTCTCCTGGGGGTCTCCGGCAACCTCTGAAGGGCCTCTAGGGGGCTTCCTTGAATTTCTTGGGGGCCTCTCCAGCGCAAGGGCGGCAAAAATCTATTCGGAGCCTCGTCCGAGACCTCCGCTGGGAGCGGTCTTGGTGGCCTCTTGGGGGTTTGGCCGCTTCTTGGGACGTCTTGGAACCCTCTTGGGGACCTCT